ATTTAAGTGAAGTGTACTTGAATTTCATGACATGAAATACTTGAATTGTTTGAAGTGACTTGTTAAGTGAATTTAAGTAAAGTGTTTAAATGATTAATTATGCTATGGTTGCATAAGTCGATGGGAGTGAATCTCCTCGACTCTTAAGTGTCAAGTAGGGGAAGCCCAAATCTCACTGGTTAACCTTGGACTCGAGCCGGCATGGGTTTGGTCGGGCTCCTTGGCGAACCATGAGAAAATAAAAGCTTGACCTATTAAGAGGTTTTGCTTGGCATACTCGAGCAGTATCGCCTCAAACAAAAGACAGGCGGGCCCGATACAGGGGTATGTAAGGTGAAAGGGGACATGATAAGTGAAGTTTTACGGACTAAACCTACCCGATTAACGGAGTGTCAACTCGTGGAGGTTCGTGATCGTGCAAGTGGAAAATAGCTCCTGAGAGCTCCTATATCCTTGAATTGTTTCTGTTTACTTTTCTCACTTGAATCATTATTTATTGAAATATTATTGCTCTACTTGTTAAATTGGGATTGTTATTTGAACAACGTGCCTGCATGTGTGTTCTTGGCCTCACGGGCGTTTTGCTCAACCTGTAGTTTGTTTTCCTTAATAGGAAAGGATCAGAAGTGAACCTCGGAGAAATCCCTTTTGAATGTACTTTTGTATTAGGGTTTTCAATGTACTTGGCTAGACTCTAGAATATTGCATATTTTGGGATTTGAGGTAACCTTTGTGAACTTGATGTAAGGATTGGATACTTGATATATTTTGGAACTTGTGATGTAAGTTTGAATGTTATTTATGGGAGTGACCTTCCTTTCTTACTTATATTATCGTGATGGCTGGGATTTCATTAAGCTTGAACGGGATTTGTCTTGAGTCCTGGCGAGAGCTGGACAGGCGTCCCGCGGATACCCTTTGGTTCGCCTTAGGGAGAAGTGGGGGTGTCACATGAAATACTTGACATACTGAGCTTACTTGACTTGATCTTGGATAGGTGAATGTATGCTTATTTGCTGTGAGGACCCGAATTTTTCTCACTTATAATTCTAATTTTATGGCTTATTTAAATATTTATTCACCCGTTTTCTCTGAATATTTTATTTCAACTATTTTAAATTCATTTATATGGAATAATGTCCCAATTATATTTTTAAACCGTCTCGTTAGTAAATTTAATTTTCTAGGGCTCGTTTAGTGAAAAATAGCGAGTATACCTTTTTTGAGACTACATTCGATCCGAGAGTGTAATAATCTTGGAGAATTGAGGGCTCATGTTTTATTTCTAAAATGGTTATTTTATAATTAATTACATTAGTAGTAGTTAATTATAAAATCGTTATATAAATTTCCCGTAAATTTCGCCTTCTTGCGCGTGAATTGGAATTTCGCATATATAGAGTTGGAATGGTTAAACGGAGACTTAAGAAACTTATACTAGACTACTGAGAGTGAATAATTATAGTGTTAAAGGAAGTGCATTAGAGGTTTAGTGCACAAGTTAAATAAATCCGAAAGGAAACGGGCACGAAACGCGCGCGTACGCATACAACTACCAAGCTTCCCCAAGAAGCTTCACCATCAGCAAACCCTCATCTCTCTCATCTCTTACCTCTCATTTTCGTCCAGCCACCAAGAAGGAACAAAGGGAAGGAAAAACTTCATCTTCTAGCTTCCATTTCACTCCCAAAACCTTCACAAATCATCACACAACTTCCACTTCACTTGGAGAGCAACTTCAGCTGAGGGAAAGGCATCATCATGCTGGTTTTTCTTGGGTCTTGGAGGTGTAAAATTTCTGGTTTCATCTCAAAAACTAGGAGGTAATCATCTAATCTTCTAGTCTTGGTTTTAGTGGATGGATCTTTGATATGAAGCTTGTAGCTTCATGTGGGTGTTGTTATTTGGATGGAAATTTTGTGTGTGGGCTCTATGAACTCCCACTATGGCTTGATGGACTGATTTGTTGTGTTTTGATGTTATTAATGTTGGATTAGTGTTTAATCTAGTGGAAATAGGTTGCATTGTTGAAGGAAAACTCAAAGGAAGTGATGAGGGAATTTTTCCATTTCTGCCCCTGTACATGCCGTGGCCCTTAGAGCAAATTTTTGTGGTTCTAATGACTTGTTTATGATGTATACATGTTACGTTGGTTGTGTAGAAAGTTTCATCAAAAAATTTTGTGATTTGGATGGGTAGATGTTGAGTTTTCGAAAGTCCAGTAAAACTGGAATTTTTCCCGAAACTGCTCTGGCAGTGTTTTTCAAACAGCTATAACTTTTTGCTCCGATGTCAAAATCGAGTGCTGTTTGTGGTACTGGAAACTAGACATTCCCAGCTTTCCAATGGTATAAAATTTACATTCTGATTCCACCTGAGTAGTCCATACCAATCGTTTGAACATGACTGTCCTGTTTCACGTCTACACTGGGAGCTCTGTTTTGAGCAGCGAATTGATGCTCAAATATGAGGTATCTGTGGACAGATTTTGAAAATTATTTCTTCTAAGAAATTGTAGACTTATGAATGCATTTTTTAACCCCACCAACCACGCTCAATTCTGAGTTGAATTGAGTGAATTATGGCCAAATTACAGACCTACATCATTGCTTGAAAACCCTCATTTTGGACTGATCAATGGCCTATGTCGTTTGGGACTTGTTATTTTGAAAATTTTGGTGTCAATCACTTACCAAATGTATATTAGATGTTTCTCAGACTTTTACTTCATAAATGGACCAGATTTGAATCGTTTTCATTGAGCAAACTGTTTGAAAGAGAAGAAGAAAGCAAAAGACAGATTGGTCTTGAGATTTTCTTGAACTTTGGTAGTTTAGTAAACTACCTTCCCATGTGAATTTTAAAGTGAAATTTGATAGAGGAGTAGTCCTCATATGGAAGTAGAATTGTACCAATTTTGGTGTCCATCCAAGACCATTTCGATATACAAATGATGTGCCAAAGTTTGCTATTCAAATCTGGAAAACTCTTCCTTTCTCTCGGCCGAATGGTCCAACTTGTTTGGAATGTTTTGTTTCAAAAACTTTGATGTCAATTGCCTCTAAATTACTCATTGGATGTTTATGGAACATTGGTTTCAACATTTGAGTTAATTAAGGTTGATTTGTGTGAGACAAAACTTTTAAAAGGAAAGAGAAACTTGAGTTGGCAGAATTGCTTTGAAAGTTTCACAAACTTCAGTAGTTTTGTTAACTGCCTTTCCACGTGAATTTTTGCGTGAAATTTGGTAGAGATATATTTCACATATGGAAGATTTAGTGTACCAAATTTGGTGTATTTTCAATGCTAACTCAATGACCAAATATTGCCCCAAATCTGCTCTTCAAATCTGGAAAATTGGCCAACAATCTTCATTTTTAACCAAATTTGAGCTGCTATATCTTGACGCTCAAAACTCCGATTTTAGTTCTGTTTCTTGTGTTTTAACTTTGATTGTATCTCCAATTGAGTTCCAAATTTCGGAGGCTAGTTCACATTGTGTGAATATTGCCGAATTTCCAAACTTTGCCGAAAATTAACCCAAATCTGTCTTGGTGTATTTTCACCGCGAACTCAAAATGACCATATCTGGAATTAAAGGCAGTCTTCGGTATATCCTCTTGCCTAATTCGTAACTGGTAGTAACCTTGCCTCAAGTCCAACTTAGAGAAAACTACTGCTCCTTGTAGTTGGTTAAACAATTCATCAATGTGTGGCAAAGCATATTTATTTTTCACCGTAACATCATTTAGGCCACGATAGTCAATGCACAGTCTTAAACTACCGTCCTTCTTCTTAACAAATAACACAGGCGTTCCCCACGGTGACTCACTTTCTCGAATAAACCCTCGCTCTAACAAATCTTATAACTGCAGTTTCAATTCCTTAAGTTCGGCGGGGGCCATTCGGTATGGCGTTTTTGCAATGGGAGCAGTTCCAGGCACTAAATCGATCTTAAATTCTATTTCCCTCTCTGGTGGCATCGATTTCAACTCATCGGGAAAGACATCAGGAAATTCATTCACTACTAAAACATCCTCCAGTTTCACTTTATCTCCAGGAGTATTAATTAAGAAGGCTAAGTAGCCTTGCACCCCTTTACTGAACAACTTTCTGGCTCGGATTCCCGAAACAAGCGCAGACGAGGCTAACCTACCTCTCACATCCAACATTAAAGTTGCCTCTCCGGGTATCGAGAATTCCACCACCTTAGTTTTACAGTTCAATTGGGCGTTATAACGGGCCAACAAATCCATGCCTATAATCACATCGTACCCCTTAAGGTTTAAACTTATCAAGTCTCCCACTAACTTCCGTTCTCCTACCCAAATCTCGCAATTTTTATAAACCATATTGGTAATTAGGCTTTGATCCCCAGTAGGTGTTTTAACTTCTAAGTCATATGGCAATTTAACTGGGTTCACAGCAATACCACACATAAAGGCAGGATTCACAAAAGAATGGGTTGCCCCAGGGTCAATCAAAAGCTTAGCTAAGCGGTGGAATACAGGGATCGTACCTTCCACTACTTCTGAGGAATCCGGAACTCGCTGGTGGTCCAAAGCAAAAACCCTAGCAGAGGTTTTAGGTCGACTTGCACTGGCGGTAGGTTGCTTAGGGTTTGACTTTTCTGACTGGGTACCCCCGTTCCCGTCACGATTTTTAACAGGACAAGTGGCAATCTGGTGTTTGGAACTTCCACAAACAAGGCACTTCCTCATTTTTTTCCAACAATTATTCTCGGTGTGGTTTGGCTTACCACAATATCCGCAGCTTGCACATGTGGTGGGTGCAGGAACTCCTTGGGAGACAGTCCTCTGTTGTCACTGTCCCCTTCCACTTTGAGCTCCTTTAGATGGAGCTCCTCCTCTTGGTGTCCCCGCAGTTCGGGCTCCACTCGCACCCCTTCCAAACTTCGGAGGTGGCACATTCTGATCACCTCGGCCAGGAGTACTACTAGATGCACCACGCCTCTTAGCCTGAAAGGTCCGAACTTGAAATCAGGCCTGCTCCACTCGTTGAGCCTTTTCAAGCGCATCTTTAAAGGTATCAATTTGAGCGGCAGCTAAATCCTTTTGGATTTCCACATTCAAACCTTGTTTAAACCGCCTTATGCGCTTTTGTTCACTCACTACCAATTCCGGAGCAAACTTAGAAAGTCGGGTGAACTGGGTCTCATACTCTGCCACACTTGAAGTGCCTTGGCGCAGTTTAATAAACTCATCCTCCCTTTTCTCCTGGATTAAGGGTGGAAGGAATTTCTCATTGAATTCCCTAGTGAAGTTTAACCAGGTACGTGGGGTTTGCTCCCTTTCCCACTTGGCCCTTACTACGTTCCACCAGGAAAGGGCCGCGCCTTCCAGCTGGAAAACGGCGAAGGTAACTTGCCTCTCTTCAGTGTAATGCAACGCGGCGAATATATCCTCCATTCGCTCGAACCAATTCTCGGCAACTTCAGGTTCAGGTCCTCCAAGAAATTTTGGAGGAGCAAACTTTTGGAACCGCTCCAGGGCCTTATCCTCGCCTACTTCAGGGTCCCTTTGTTGGTTACCAGGTACTTGACCCTGCTGGTCAACCAAGCGGGCCAGTAAATCAATCATTCGATTAATAGCTGTTGCTACTTAGTCCCCTCCATCAGCTCGGGGTCCCTGGTTTTGATTCGCCACCGAACTTTGTTCCTCCCCTTGGTCTTGGACTTGCCTGGATTCTCGTCCACGGCCCCGAGTACGTCTTTGTCTAGTCTCCATTATTACACACTGGCCTAGTGCCCACGTATGATAACTAACAGGGTAAGAAAATATGGTATACAATAGATGCTTATATATATTGAAAAGTCAACTAAGAAATGGAAATCGGAATCGCGATAAGCAAGTGAAATGCACAGCAGTTAAGATCAATGTCGACATAAAGTCAAAGTCAAGGTCAAAGTCACAGTCAAAAGTCAGCAGTCAACAGTCAACAGTCAAAGATCAAGGTCAACAGTCAAGGTATTATACATTAAAAGGCTCATAGCAGTCATTTACAAGGTAACATGACCAAAATAGCAAGTACGAGCCCCCCAAAAGTACAGATATAGTCATATCAAGCAAAACCTAACACAAGTAGTCATAAGAAAGCTATACAACCACCGAGTCACCACATCCCCTAAAGTTGTAGCCTAAGGGTAAAGACTTAGTCCGTCGTAGGACTAGTGGACCCACCAGACTGGGCGGGTTCATCTCCGAGCTCGCCTCCTATATAAGAAGCTTCATCACTCTCCTCTCCAAGGAATTCATCACAAATGTTCAAGATCGATTCAGCTATAACCCTCACTTTCGTGGCCCTCTTAACCATGCGCTCTTGCGTTTCTCCAAGTTGTGCACATAAGTCATCAACCCTCTCGTGGCCTTTAACCACATCGTACTCAAGCTCCTTAATTCGAGCGGCTTGCCTCTTATTGGCTTCCCTTAGTTGGTTCACTTCGGCTTCAAGCCTAGCATTATCCCTTGCAAGCTCCTTACGCTCTTTTACCATAGCCAATACTACTTCATTAGGGTAGGCATAAGTATGGCGGCACTCGCAACGCCAATAGCGATTTGACGGGCTCCAATAAACTCTAGCTCCTCCAGACCGGATTTGATACTTAATCATGGGGAGTACTCCACGGGGCTGCTCACCAACTGGACGATCACTATGGCCACTATGTCCGTCCATCCTACACCAAAGTGTAGATAAACTTTAGCACTCTTAAGGGAAATAATCAAATATAATCCTCAAGTCAGAAATTTCTAACTCGCCCAGGCGAATTCAAACCTAGGCTCTCATACCAACTGTGACAGTCCCACCTCTCCCTAGGGCGAACTCTAGGATATCAGCGGACTGCCTGCCCAGCTCTCGCCGGGGCTCAGTCGATCAAAGAACTAGCAACTCAAAATAACTGGTGAAGTAACTTCAAATTAAAATCATACAAACCTTAATGGCACATAATCGTCAAGCCAACTTTCCAAACTTCAAACGGCAAGCTAAAAGTCACACTTACCACTCCATACTACAATTACATAACATAAGTCGAACTTATGAATTCAAGCTTACAAAAGTCAAAAGTAAAGTTGTCTTAACAAAAGGTTACAAGTTCAAGCAAAATAAAGCTAAGAAAGCTCTCGGCCGTTAGTCCATCCCCGATCTGTTAAGGAAATCAAAGGGAGTGGGGTGAGCTAAAGCTCAGTGAGGTTCCAAGTAAAGCAAGTAAACACATAACCAAATTAAGGCATAAAATAACCAAATAAATACCGTATGATACAATAACAATTTAATCATAGTTCAATTCAAGGATATGGGTGGCTTTCAAAAGCCAAAATCCCCTTGAGCTTGATCATAAATGTCTCTGTTGACACTCCGTCAACACTTGTATACACAGAATATCAAGTCCGTAGAACACCACTTTCACCTGTCTCCGTCCACCAGTCAACCCCCACCGGGCCCGCACTCCATAAACAATAGTTAGGTAATACTCGAGTATACCGATTTCAGGGTACAGTAAACAGTCCTCAAGGTTTATCTGCCTTCTCGACCAAGCCCTTGCTGGCTCGATAGAACCGACTCACCTATGAGGTTGGGTACCCAAACAGTAGTAGTAGTTGATGGGATATCACCCAAACAACTCAAGTACAGTCACATATAGAGAATTCACATTTCATAATAGCAGTATACAGAGCCTCAGTGGAAAGTGAGGGAGCACGAGTGCGATAAAGTACACACTCGCCTCCATTTTTATCAAATCAGGGTTTGGCTCAAACAGTCGTAAATCAAGTATTCAGATATTTCACATAAGCAGGTAGCAGGTAGTGGAACACTCACCTATCAAGCAAAGCAGTAGTCAACGTCAAGTTTCACAGTTACGACCACCTTCGTTTCTCACCCCTAGGGCAACGAGTGAAAATTGTTAACCATTAGGTTCATGCCTTACTAAGTTAGGCTCATTAAGAGACCAAGTGAGTAGTCTAAGCTACTTAATCCATCACACAAATAAGGTCCAAACCATGTTAAAAGTTCATGAGAAAACAAGTTTAATAAGTGCATGAAAGTTCGGCAAAAGAAAAGTTTCATTCAAGCTTAAAGGTTTCTTCTCGGGTTGAACAGTCTTGCCCTGGCAGTTTTAGGAAAACGGTCATAACTCACTGTAGAAAAGTCGGAATTAGGTGCCGTTAGTGGCGTTGGAAACTAGACTCGAAGTTCTTTCCAACGGTACCAGACTCACAGCGTGGTTCATCCCCTATCAACAACAGTAACTCAGACAAGGTGGCTGTTTTTCCAACCCTGGATCAGCATTGACCGCATGCTAAACTACTCTAGTTCTAGGTGCTAACTTCATTAGTTTTGATCCAAATTCACCCAAATCATTTCTCAAGTGATCATATACAAGGATTCAAGTCATCTAGGATCAATGGAATTCACAACGTGACACACAAACATGATTTAAGGCAACCACAATGGTCTCATAATTACAAGAATCCAAAACAGTCTACTAATGGTTCAAAATCACCACTTTACTTGCTTCAATTCCATTCCAACTCACTCATAGGCTTAACCAATAGTTAACCTAGTTTATTAGGCTTGATTAGGGCATAATTGAACAACAAAATTGAGGGAAAATCCCTCCTTCAAGAACCGGCCAGCCAAGAACAACAAACTAACAGCCCACAATCCAACATTTGTTCAACCTTCATCCTTACATGTTTTTCACTCAAATCATCATATCAAGTGGTAGATCTAGCTCAAAAGAGGTTTAAAACATAATAATACCTTATAAACAAGCATGAACGAGATTCAAACATTTCATCAAACACTTGGTGTGCATACTAAGAAGCTTAACTACCACTTGATTAATTCAAGAGACTAACCCCAAATCTCAACCAAATAACTTGTATTTTTGCCATTAACACTTCAAGTGCATGATCTATCATCAAAAACTAAGATTTAAAGAACATATACCTCTCTTGTAGTGAGCTTGAACCACCAAATCAATCCACCAAAGTAAAGCTTCAAGCTTGAATCAAGCACTTAAGGTTGGAGGAAACTCTCTTACTAACTCAAATCTTTCTCTTTTGATTTTTATTCTTGATTTGCTAGGGTAAGAAAGCAAGGTTATGGAGCTCACTCTCTCTCTCTCTTGAGGCTAAGAGGTTCGGCCATCTTAAGAAAAAAAAAAGAGCCAAGTTTAGTTTTTATTTTGTCTACTAATCCTTAGTCAAACCAACCCATGGCTAGGGTTTTGCCACATGGTTGTATTCTTGTCCAAACCTTTCTTAACCTTTGACTAATGGTATCTTAACCTTTCCTATTGTACCAATACTTAATTAGCACCTATAATCTCTCACATAAAGTCTCTACCACTAATAAAAGACACTTGGACAAATGCAAGTGGTGCATTAATTAAAATCAACTCAAGAAAAATGTTTTACTTCAAATAAAAAGAAATGGTGTGTAATGCATGAAAATTATTGTAACACATAGAGAATATAATGTAAGGGCATATAATATATGATTTAAATCCTAGGATAAGGATAGGATGAGGCAAATAATTTGGGGAAATTGTGTTTTAAAGTGAGGGTTCTCACAGTTTAAATGATTAATTATGCTATGGCTGGATAAGTCGGTTGGAGTGAATCTCCTCGACTCTTAAGTGGTAAAAGTGGGAAATGGCCAATGGCGGCCTATTTAAATGGCAAATATCTTCCAATTAACCGTAATTTCTTACCATTAACCGTTAACCGTAATTACTTACCGTTTACCAACCTACTTGATTACCTACCAACGTGATTACCTGCTTACTTGATTATCTGCTTACTTGATTACTTGACTATTTGATTACTTGATTGTCGTAAATTACAAGTTCATATGAAATTGGCCACCATTTTAAGGCGAATGTGTACTTTATCTCACTCGACGTACTAATAGGATAAATTTTTACCGTTCACCAATTTACTTGATTACGTGTGCATGATGTAAGCTCTAAGCTGAACTGGGCCCTGCCCTTGGTTACTGACCTACTCGAGTCAGGATTGGGCTCGGTCGGGTAGGTTGGAACCCTGGGACACCGTTTTGGTATACTCGAGTACTACCACTGGAGGGATAAGGTGATGGCCAGACAAACCGAGGGGTTCTGAAGTTATAAGGTACAGTTGACCGAAATGGTTCCACTGGAACACCGTATCCTTCAATGTGTGTTTATTTTACATAATGATAATTGTTTCATACTAATGTGCTAACGTGCAACCCATGAGCCATACCTGTGATATGCTCAAATTACTCGTAACATGATAACTGTCTCATGTTAATGTGTCAATGTGCAATCGTGAACCATATATGTATCATGCCTAACTTGTTTGATTTTTTAGAACTGCTAGAGTGTCTTGGAACCTCACTGGGCTGTGTAGCTCATTCCACGTTTTTGTTTTCCTTAACAGGGTTCGAGACCAATAGTGCTCGTGAATAGTATTACATTGTTTTCTTTTGAAGACCTTAAGTTGTAGTATAACGGATGGTTGTAGTATATATTCTTTTGGAGTGTATCAAGCTTGAAAGCTAAATAATTGTAAACATGCAATACTTTGGAGTACTT